CGAGCCCCCCGGCGCCCCTCCGCCGGGCGGGCTGCGAGGAGCCCACGGGCCGTGGCGGGAGGCCGCGTCCGGCGCCGCCTTGCCCTCCGACCCCCCCTGCCGGGGGAAGCTGCCCCGCGGTGCCCGGCCGACCTCCCCCTGAGGATGGGGCCGGGGGCTGCAGCCGGGGCGTAAAAGAGCAGTGCCGAATTTGCCTCTGCCGCGGTTCGCCCGAAGGAAACGGGGTAGGGTTTTTAAACGGGGCGGGGGGGCGGCAGCGGCTGTGCCCGGGGAACTCCCCCGGAGTCTCCGTGCCGGTGCTCGCAGCTCCCCGCGGCGGGATGGCGGCATCCCCCAGTCACAGTGCGGGCTGCTCCCGGCGCGGCACTGCTAAGCGCTGCGCAGTGCCACGGGACAAAGCCACCGCGGAGGTTTACACCGAGCAGCAATAGAACAAAGTGAGCCGGGAACTTCAGGAGATAAACCTAAGGAAAGATGGAAGAACTTCCTGCAATGTACCAACTCCACCTGAAACATTCCTTGCCCTTCCCTTGTTCCCGAAGTGCCTCACTAACAGCTCCTCGCTCCACAAAGAGGTTCTCCCTCAGTGCTCGGCCATGCGCCTGCACCTCGCCAGCAGCACCATCCCTGCCCTGCTCCAATGAAGGCCCTGCCGCCAGGCACCTCATCACCTGCCAGGTGAAGGCCCACAGAAGGGTCACTGTGCTCACAGTGACATTTCCCTACGTGCTTTAAAAAAATGGCATAGTTACAGAATGTAAGGATGACACAAGAGACAGCAGACGTGTCTGTGGGGATACCGTCTACAGCAGAGACGTTCCAATCAATATTAAATACCGATCGGTATGGACAACATCACAGACCAATCAATAACATCCATTATTGTACTCGGTTTCCCACTACAAGAATGCAGTTTCTAAGTGAAACTCATCCTTAGGGGCTGCCCGTTCAACGTTAAGGCCTACCTGGACTGGCGGTGCCTGAAGGAGCCTCTGGCAGTGCAGGAGCCATAGGGTCACAGCAGCACCGACGCAGGTACGTGACTGCCTCTTGCCCAGCAGGCATCATGGGCCATGGCAGCAGGTGTATCAGAAGCACAGCAGGCTGAGGAGGAACACAAAAAGCAACAGGCACTGTGAGAGGGAGCGGGACACTGGGACGTAGCTGTGCTCTCAGTGAACATCTCAGGCATTTGTTGCTGTGCATGCCTCACCTATGGTAACAGCTGCACAAACCTAAACATCTGGTGTTGTGGGAGGAGAGAAAAGCGTATTTAATTTGCCTGGTGTGCCATACAATTTAAAATTATTAATTGGAATTCTGGTTTTCATTTGCCCGTAAGCTCACAAGTGCAATTTTAAACACATATCTCAGTTAAACAAATACTTTTGAACTTGTCTACAATAAAACCGCTCCACAGAGCTTCTCTCATGGCACTGTATCATGCTTAAAATTAATCCACTCAGCAGAAAGTTTTGGCCAGGGAAAGAAAGAAAAAGACTAAATTAAAAAATGGGAAAGGAAACACCAGATAAGGAAGAGAAGGAAGGCGGCAGAGAATGGGAAATCACTGGGCCAGACAGAAACTACTTCAGGGCATTGGTGGTGACAGCTCCATCCTGGAGCCTGGGAAGCGCATCGCGTTGGCTGCTGAGAGCGCATTAAAGTCAAAGCACGGACTCAGGTTCCCTTTTGCTGATTTTTATTTGATAGTGAAGAACTCTGGCAGAGTGGTGAAAGAGAGGGCTGAGGGCTTAATGCCTGAAAGCACCAGAGTTCACCAAAGGGCGTCTCTCGGCACACTGAGATATTGCTTTAGACCTTTTTATTTCAGCAATATAAAGTGTGGCTGCAGCAGTATCTCGGGGGTTCGGCTGATCCTTATCCTCGCTGAGCTACAGACTTGTGCTTTATCTCAGCAGCTCTTTGATGGAATTATTGTAATTGTAATTCACATTTGTCTATCACTCTGGATCTTAATGGATGCCTAATGGATGACTGGCCCGAGGATCAATAGTACCACGTCTTGTCTACTTGGGATGAGAGAACTGAATGTTAAAACAAATACGCCTACTATGCTAAAGATGCAGAAATATTAAGCAGATCAATGCAAACCAGGTTTGCTGGGAGGTGAGGAGGCCCCGCACGCAGCATGGGAGGACCTGTGGCCCTTCTGCCCGCTCACCCAGCCCTACCAGCACGTGGCTGTGCACTTTTTAAGGAGCATAATAAATCACACAACATTTTCCACAACTAAGTTCTTTCTAATCTAGCCAGACAATTCTTAAACCTTTAATGGGCTGATGATTGTAAAATCACTTCTGTCTGGGTTTCTGAGCAGTAATCTTCAAATTATGGGTTTGAAACAGCAATAATGGAATGTGCCATAAAAGAGTTCTTCCTCAGTAAGTCTATTATTGTAATAAAATAACATATCTAGTCACCTCTACATTCTACATTAACCCTTTTTATGGTAATTATGAGTAAAGCGTATCGCTCATTTCCCTTCAATAAGATTCTCACAGATCACTGAAACAGCAGGCTACATAGACTGAAAGCAAAGTGACACGGACCTTCTTTTTTATCCATGCCAGAAACTTGTTCAGGTAAAATCCACTCAGTTTAGGAATTATTCTTGCCATCTGTGTAAGATTAATTTCAAATTCTGAGTCCTAATTTTGAGTCGCATACATTTGTTTTCACAGAAATGTACGTACCAATGAGACAAGTGCACATGAAATGCCATATTCCTGTGCTCCCATATCTACTGTTATCACAGAACTCACAATCACACCACAACACCCACACAAACACCTTGAAAATGCGATCACTAGAACTTAATCAGGATGATTTATAGATCACATTTTAAAATTACTCTTAAATAGTTGCACAAAGCTAACCCACAGCAAGCCGAAAGCCTTCATACTCAGTGTCAGAACATGTGATATGGAAGAGGCTGCAAAGAACTTTCATTCCTAGAAGTCACACATTATGTGTGCTGAAGCTATAGGCATGTTCATTCATTTTAATGCTTTTAACAGAATTGGATCATAAAAAATCATGTTGTTAACACCACCAAAACAAAGTTCTGATAACATTTTAGGAGGTACAACCAAGGGATATTTTTAAATATGTAGTAAAGATGAAGACATCCTAAAACAATATAACAGTGTTGACTAAAGATTATGGATTTCATTGATATTAGTACTAAAAAAGTCAAAGGAACTTGAGATCTTATCCTGTTCATGTGAGTAATCTGTCCCAGACTGACCTACATGCACTTTTATTACATACTTCATGTCACTTCCATCTGCATCTGATTTTTTTAGTTCATAAACATTTATGCTTCTTTTATAAACAACCCTTGAATTACATGAATTTGGTAGAGATTTCTTTAAACTATGACCCCAGTATTACCTGTTCCACAAGTTTGTTGTATTTATCTCTTCTCCACCATAACTCAGTTTCAAAGGAGAGGCAGCAAGTACAGAGTTGTGTACATAAGCAAGCCTGAAATCCTGTATGTTTTCATCATCTCTGTTCTCTTTTGAAATCCGGCATTAAAGAAAAGTCAGCTAGAAAATATTAAGTTCAGTGACATACATAATTTGTTTGTCTCACATGGTTTACTGCTGGCTTTACTTTAAGAGTTCATATTGCACCACCACACAGTGCTTTCTGGCTGGATTTAATAAGGTTTACATTTAGTGACAACAACACTCTTCCTGAAAGGGAAGAAGAAAATTCTCAAGGGTACTTTTGTACTGACCTTAACACTACTCCTGTCTTGATCTATCATAGATCATTACTAAACTTCAGAGGGAGCTGCTTTCCTTATTCTTCCTTAGGAATTTGTTATGCATGTATTCTATGAGGAGCTGAAGAGAACCATTGTAATTCACATCTGTTTTATTAAATGTGACAGGAATATATAAGCACCTTGGTATGATAGGAAAGTAATCCAGGTATGTGATGGAAAAATACTATAATAAGGTCTCCAATGTACAGGTTTTTTTTCCAAAGAAAATGCAAAGTTATGATATTCCTTTGTGGCACTATGATGTTCAATAAAAGCTTGTATTTATAATCTGGTTTGCTTGATACGAGTAGCAATTACACTGGGGTAATTGCTTGAAAAATAGAATAATTTTCTCTTGAAAGGGCCATCCTCTGTAACTATTATCAAGGCAGCATTAATTGCATCTTCATTTTTTATACTTAACTCTCTTAACAAAACGGAAAGGTCCACATAACCTGCTCCATTAAGTACGTAAATTAGGACTCCTGATTATTGAATGGTGTTACTGAGATCAGAGTTTTTAATCATAGAGAATAATTACAGAAGAAGATCAGAATTGTCTTCATTTCTAATCTTTGTGGAAATAACTTAAGGAAGCTTATCAGAGTTGTTAATCAAAATTGTTAAACTGCACTTTACAAATAAGTTCCATTGCACAGCATGTCATTCTGAACAATAGAGAAAGCCAGGCCAAAAGCAGCACTGTTTCATTTCTCTCTTCTTTTTGCCTTCAAATATTTTCATCATGATTCAGTTTCAAATGTGTAATCTCATGGCACTGCTTCATGCCAGCAATTATGTCCATTGTTTCACAAGGTAGTAGGCTGTCACCTGCCAACCAGATGTGGTGGTACCTGCAGCACACTGCAGTCCCAGCTCCTGGATCCTTCAGCCGCTTCCCAGTCCCACTGCACAGCCATTGTGCAGCTTAGCAGCATCAGTTCCTGCAAATTTATTTCACTCATGACTCCACAGAAAAGGGCTGTTTCAACACCACACCTCCTACCCCCCTTGGTGACTTACCATTTAATAACTACATATGGATTGATTCAGGCTGCGGTGATGCTCGTTCTTATCATGTACTGGAAAAGCACTACGCACCAATGGTAAATCCATGAACATGAACAACTAAGGTGCTAAATTGATTTCTTTCTTCTGGCTGTTCTTTCATATCTATTGATGAACAGAGTTTGGACAATTTAATTTAGTTTATAATAAATCCTTTTATGCTGTAGTTGTGATAGGGCTTACTCTGTGGTAGCTAGAGTCATTAAAGGATTTACTATTCTTGACGTACAAAATCTTTGGTGGATGAGGGCTGAAATAACTCAATCAAGTTTCTTCTGCTTGTAAATGATAAAAGAGCAACGCCAAGATACAGCTGAATCACATTTCAGATGTACAAATGTTTTCAGATTTCTCTTCACAATTCAGGGAAATGGTAGGATCAGTAAAACCTTGCCATGGTTTATGATTTTCTGTTATCAGTCTATGTAAAACCCTGCCAAACCTAAAGTTATATTTATTTTATCTACTTCCTACAGAAGAAAATGTCACAGTGTCCCAAACTATCAACACATTCTTAGCCAAACATGCACTGGCTGCACAAGTTACCATAAACTTATTTTAGAATTTAAGTGGGAGATCAAACAGCTTGGAATCAGAAACGTTAAATCTCTAAGTCATGGGATGAACACAGTGAATGTGCATTATAGCCACCTTCTAGCAAAAGTACAAATACTTTCTTGGGTTTGTATGCATGTTGTTATCAGAGTAGATGAAAAGAGCCATTATGACTCCACAGGTTACTCAGCACTGCTGGCAGTGCAGTCCCCAGTTTCATTTAAATAATGATTTAAAAAAAGAGTAGACATTTAAAAAAGGTGTTGCATGCAGTCAGGCATATGTCAAATAAAGCGTATGTGGAAAAGCAAAACAAAATTAGAACTGAAGAGGCACCTTTAAATGAGTTTGGTGCCTGACTTCTGTACTGGGTGAAGAAGGGCTGAAAACAACACAGCTCAGGAGATGAGGCTGCAGAGCAACTTCCCCATCACAAACCCCTATAGCATTCCCACTGCCAGCCTGGCAAGTGCCCTGTGGTGTAACACTACCCGTTGGTTGGAAACACTGGTAATATTTAGAACTGTCTTCCATCCCTCCCTGTGACTGCGAAACTTGCGCAAAGATCCAAGACTGGTATCCATCAGACCGAGCACGAGGCTCAGCAGGCCGACACGTGAGGAGAGGCGCAGCAAGGACTAAGAGCTGGTGCTCTACCACGCCACCTGTGAGTGCCAGGGGAGATCACTGAGCTGCCCTCTGAGCACTGCAGCAAATTCACTGTCAGCTGAACTGAGCAATGCTCCGTGCTACCCTCTATGCTTACTACAGATTGCCATTTTACTTGTATTCAACTACCAGCAGGAAAAGTGCAACAAGCTAAGGACAACCACATTCTTCATGCCTTACTGATAACTAAATAATGTTGTCTGCTGTTTTGTATTTTAAAAAGTACTTTGTATTTCTGACGCCTAAAAAATAACTGCTGTGGCTGTTCTTTTTCATGGAAGCTTGACCCAAATACTTCCTTAGATGCTAAACTTCATCTTAGGGAACATACTTGTGTTCTAGCTTTCCCAGGGACTGTACCTAACACTGATTCACTGCTCCTTTTCCTTTATTTGTCTACTGCAGTTATATTTTCTATAGTTCTAGTGGCATGTTTCTGTGTGTAATGTTCTTCTAGACCCACGCTGCATGAAGCGCATTTCTTATTCACTGTAACACCCCACATAGTTTAAAGAGTCTTAAAGATTTTATACTACAAGCATGTCCTTGGAAGCATCTGAAGTCATTATTACTAACAGTTCTTTCACATTTGTTTATAACTTCTCAATACATATTCATAGCACAGTGATTTTTGGGTTCATAAAAGAGCAAATTACAGCCTATTTCCCAAATGATTGCAAAGCTCTTCTTAACAGGCATAGAAGGGTAACACAGCAAAATTTGGAGCTGTGCATCAGTGAGGCAGTTCCACAGAAAGAATGAGAAAGGATGTTAAGGAATGCACGAACTCACCTAGAAAGTTCTCTCAGTTTTTCACAGGGATATTACAGCCAGATTCGTAGTACATATAATATATTAACAGGGATATGAGGATGTCGCTATACTGGCTCATCAGAACAACAGCCTGTCAGCTAATTTTGCTAAAAGTAAAAGCAACTTTAAAGCTTAAAGGGACAGAAATACCAGCACATACTTAGGTGTGAACGTGAGATCATTCTGCAGACCGTGTGCCAGTACTTACAGTTAAGGAGATGCAGGACGTGTTGATTTCTACAAGTCATGAGGTATGCTCCTGTGATAGAAAACGCTCTGCAATATTTGCTGTGCTGCTGTGAATCAATGAATGCTTCTCTCTGGCACCTTCGTGATATAACCATTAGCTGCAGGAGCAAGAAGAAGTAGAGTATAAACACTTAGTGTTCCAAATAAAAACTGAAAGCATGTGGTCAGGGATAGGGGGTTGGTAGACATAGATAGGAAATCGTACCTGCCCTGAAGGTGTGACAATTTCATCTCTATTTCTTGTTGCTTAGGCTAGTTTTCAGTATTAGGCTGCGTACAAAACCTCAAACACATTAAAGCTGTCTGAAGTGTGCAAGTGAACTCATTGTATAATGACTTAATATAAAAATGAATAACATGACAACAAATGAACATGCTTATTCAGACCACACTACTGAAAGGGCTGAGAAAACAAAGAACAGAGAATAGGAATAAACTGTGGAGCAAAACTAAATGTCAGATTTCCAGAAGAATCAAAGCTGCTTCACTCTTCAATGAAGCATAAAAGCATGGGAAGTCGGATTTTCTTTTGCATAAAAAGAACCAAATAATCCAATATAGCTTTTAACTGTGACTTATTAGGCACAGCACAGCTATGGCTGCCAGTTGTACATTCTGACCAAGAATAAAGAAGAGCATGTGGTAAATGAGCTGAAGAATGTGAAGGAAAAAATCATTGCAACAATTGTGTAATAACCACATTGTAAGAAAGCAGCAGAATAAACAAGATAGCAGTTCTATAAATTCATATGCACATTGTCTACAAATGTGCTTGGAGAGAATTAAAACCAAAAAGATATCTGGCAATTTAGAGATTGAAACTATTTTATGAGAACAGGGTATTTGTTTTCACAAAACTTTCATGACGTATTCGATAAATCTTTCGTATGATTTGAGATCTGGACTACACAACTGCATACATTGTTACAGTACAACATAATATGGAAATATGATGCCAGAAGAAGTAAAATATTTGTCAAAAACTGAGAAATAAAGTCAAGAAAATAAAAGAAAATTCTGGTCCTTGTAAGTCCCTTTTTCTGAAGGTAGTCATCCAAGATCCTCTTTCATACTCATCAACTCCACACGCAGGATCAATGGTGCTCCCCTGAGCTGACATTTGTTTATTTATCCTCGAGGGCAACAGTGGCATGGCTGCGTGCTCTGCTGCCCAGAGATGTCATCCCTTCCCAGGATAGTTACGTGGCTGTCAAATCATTCTGGTTATTCCCTTAATCGAGTGGGAGACGAAGGTGCCAGATAGATAAGCCAACTAAATTATTGAAAAATAAGGAAATCAAATTGGAAAATGTACAATAGATCAACTTACAAAAACACTCACCAGTATCTAGAGTAGCAGCTGCAACAAGCAACAATGAAAGAAAAGTGTGTAAAGAGGTCTCTCTATATTTATATTTCACACGTTTATGAATTCACCACAACAAAAAGCAGTCAAACAGGTAGACAGAACCTGCAGAGTCAGAAATTCTAAATCAAAAGTAGATAACAGAAATATCCTTTGATCTTTGTACAGATGTGCAGGGTAACGCAATATACATAGCACAGAAACTGCCTAGAGATCCAGCATTACATGCATTTACAGCTATCAGTGCTCAAATATTCCTCATTATAGCACTTCTTCCCATGGCAACACACTCCTTGTTGTGCCAGCATCTGGGGAGGCATTGTGAAGATTAAACCAGTTTTAAAAGTATTTCAATAAAAGAATTAGTATTTATTTATCAGTGCATTTATATTATATTTGTGCTTTTCAGAATTATTTATAGACAGGTTGTGTTGATTTTTCAGTTAGTAACTCAACCAACCAGTTGATTTGGGAGCTCACTGTAATTAACTTTTAGGAATCTATCATTTTTCACAGACCATCTTGGAACAAATGAACAAAAAAAATTGTATGCATTCATGCCTATGCTGTTGTGCAGCAAAAAATATAGCAGCTCACTTATAAATACCAAGCAAGTCAGGAAAACAAACCTATGTACTTATAATATTATTCTTACAGTAACTTGTCAATTGTCAAAAGTGAAATTAATTACAATAATTGTTTATTTATCTTACTTAAGCAATGTTCTTCTCCTCAACTATACAAGGTACTATTTATGCCCATCAAATGGTGTTATGCTAAAGAAATAGTAATTCAAAGAGCCAGTATTTAATAACATTATTTCATTACACAATATGGCATCGATCCATTTACTCAGCCGGAGGTGCAGCAATTGTGAATTCAATGCTTCTCGTTTCCCTTACTGCAAAGAACTTGGGTGCTCTGTGTTAGCTCATTTGTCCTCAGCCCTGCATTCACTGAGCGTAATGGCAAAGCAGTGCCCACCGACTGCAACAGCATGGACGTATGAATCACAGAGCTTTCCCATTTCTCCAAAGTGAGGCCCGTGGCAAATATTTAACTGGTGAGGGATTTTAAATATTTCATCTCATGTCTATAGATTTTCTGAAAGTACAGTAATCCCAGTTGGAAACAATTACAATTACTCACACTGAGCTCCGCACAGTTCTAGATGGATCTGCGGGCAATTTACCCAGTGCATTCCAGTACAGAAGGGCTCCATAGGTATTCTGTAATGCCCAGAGTTCAGGGGACAAAAAGGTAATGCAAATAACATTGGTGAAACACAAATCTTGACGTGCGAGCATTCAGATTCTCAATATAACCGCAACATAATTTCATCTCCGAAATACTTGCATTCACTGAATAACATATGCTGTTTTCTTCAAAGCACTGTCACTCCAGCAGCCATTAGTGAATGTTCTTCCTCAGGTTCTTCACAGGGAAGAACAGAGACAGAGCAAAGGCTTGGATAGATTTCAGATTGCACAGTACCAGCCCAGGGCTCTGCAGGCAAATTAGCTCTGATCAGTGTCAGGCAGACCTAAAGCCACTGGTGCCAAGACAGCCCCAAATCTATTTTTAAGCTCTCCTGAGGGCCCCATGTTCAAAGTTGCTGAAATACAGAAACCAGCAGCAACCATGTAATCAATTTATGTGAAATCATTTGGAAATGATTGAATCAGAGATTCAACAAGCTGGTATTAAACCAAATGACTAAATCCTTCTCTTATTTTTATTACTGACCTGAATCTGGACCATTGCATCATGTTATAATGGCATGGGTCTTACTAGCACTGTTTAAAGGGATGCGCCAACTCATGGTAGCTCTTGGCTCTGCTCATTCCACGTTTGCCTTTGCAGTTACTAATTCATTCATTCTCCCCTAATCTTCCCAGTTACGTTCCCACAGAGCGCAGTCAGACAGACTGCCAGAAGGAACAGCACTTGGCCTTGTGGAAAGAACATGGAAAGAAGGTCACCCTCCTCTCGCCATCCTAGAACAGAGGCAGATTTTGGCCACGGCCAAAAGGAATTTGCAACAAATACCTGGGATACGTTTCCTCAGCCTAAAGAAAAGGATGTCATGTGATAATGGCAGCTGTACAGGCTGCAGAATCCCAGCCTTCATCACACATGCATTTGCAGTTATTGTGGTTAAGGACACACAGTTCCTACACTTTAAATGACATTCTAATAAGAGAAAAAAGCAATAATTTTAGAATGCAACTAATATAGATAACACTGTAAAAAGTTGGATTTTGGCTGCTTAAAAGTTATGGAAATAATGGGCTACGGGTATGCTGCTCAATTAAGATAAAGCATAGCTATTATATAAAGACAAACCAAATGACCACAAGAAGCACTCAGTGGAAGAGCATAGCCCATTTCAAAGGGGAAAACATGTTTATTTTGGTGATTAATTCTGTTCTGCATGAAAATGCAAATTAAAATGTTAATTAAGGGGAAAATGCACAACAAAAAGAAGGTGTAGTACTAAAAAAACCAGCCTCTTAGGGCTGGCCAAACAGAATGACTTCAATGTGGTTTGGAGATTGTTTTGTTACTGACAGCAAATGTTCTAACAGGAAGGCAGGATACATAGTCATATAATTTGTCAAAAGTCAGAACCAGAAATTAATTGATTAGTTCATATAAGACCTTTTTTTTCACAAAAACCTACATTAACTCAAATCAATAATTAGAGAAACTATAATTAATTGTTCCTGGGCTGCGATGTTCTAATAAGTTTATTCAGGGAGAAGCATCAAATGAAATTACAGGTACAAGAGGCTGTATTTGCTATTACCATACCTTCAACCATTAAATTTTGCTTTCATAGGACAAAAAGAGCAGCGTTTTTAAGTAGATAGCATGTATAATAAAAAAAACCATTTGCTTAAAAAGTCATCCAGAAACAACACCAAATCTACAGTTATGTCATAACAAATGTTATTCAGATGAGAATTCTCAAATACCTGTGTTAAAATATTATCAAGAGATTTTCAGAAAAACTCTGTGCTCCATAGTTTCCACTGACCATAATGAGAGTTCAGCACACGCTGTGGCAGGAATTACGTGAAGGTTGATTGTGTTCAGTCCTGTGTAAGTAAAGAAAAAGCACAAATACTACAGCAGATAAGGACAGACCTTGTTGTTTTGATGCCAGTGCGCTGTTAATAACACAAGAAAAACTCTACTCACATAGCTTGGCTTGACTCATCTTTTCCTCCCTTTATTATGAATCAGATTCTTTGTTATCTTCTATTGAATGAAAATCTGCTGCAGCACAGTCAGTGGGAGTGGTGCCATTGATGTCAGCGAGATCAATTCTTGATTACCTCACTAATATTAACTTTTTAGGTTCTAAGGATCTTAGGCTAGCTACAATTGCTTGAAGGAAAGAAAAGACTTGTTGCAATAAGGAATAAAGACATTTCCCTGGATTGCAGCCTGTTGCTCCATTTTGCAGGAGTTGGGCACACAACTTACTATTTTCTAGCTAACCTGTCTCCTTCCCTGAAGAGCCTTGGTTTTCACTCCCAACTGAAATACAAACAGGCTTTCAAAAATGTAAATATTTTTTTCTATTCAGCTGTAAATAATTACAAGCTGGGAGAATGGAACAACAGCACAGGTCCTAAATGACAAGAATCTAACTTGCACTACTGCCCTCTGTTGTGTTTCTGTCATTTAAGTGATGCTCTGTGGGATATCCATTTCTAAGGTTCCAGACCAGTTTCACCTCTATAAAGGTCTGAGCTGTGAATCTCAATGGCAGAATGAATACAGGTGAGGAGCTGATGTGCTGGGTGGTGTGGGGCAAGCCTCTTCCTGCTCAATAGGACACTCAGTGCCACTGCTTACCTTGTAAGAGCTGACAATGAAAAACCTTACAACAGTCCCATGAACAACACATGTCATTTCTGCAAATTAGTTA